TACATTGTGACAATTGCGATTTCCTAAACTTTGAACTCTCATTGGGGTTAACTCTCAAATATCTGGCAGCCCCGGTACTGATTAAAAGTACGCGTAAATCATACTAACTTTGGGCACTCTTCCGAATACCGGTCCCAAATTATTGACTGTCCAAAACATCCCCTTTAGAGCCTCAAGGGGTTATAAAGAGAGGAAGTATGAACATATAAGAAATACTTTATTTTCTGACTTCAAAATCAGTGGTCATTTCTACAAATAAAAATAGTTTATTATTAGACGTGTAATAAGTGGGTGTGTGTTTCTTCTCGTTGTCTAGGCAGTGTTCATGCGTGTGTGGTGGAAGATCTTCTCACACGCTCCACGTTACACAACTGGCACAAGCCGGCACCGATGTGAGCTTACGAGACATGAATTTATTGACGTATTTACACTTACAAAACAGAGTGTCCGGTCGGTGTCCTAGTGAACAGCTCTCGTACCCAAACTCACGCAGCCTTCAAAGAACAGTCTTCTTCAAGCATTCACTGACCAAAGATGGCTCCCATTGATTCACGTTGAGGTTCTGGGCATCTCACACACTGGCATGGTCGATCTCGGCTTCACACTTCGTCGGCAGGGTCTCCTTTCTTCACAATCACTCTCACGTTGACATTCTCACTTTCAGTCGTACGTCCTCTCACTCCAACAGGTCGACACAAACTAAACTTGACCAGAGTCAAGTCTGACTTATACCACGGGTTCGTTTCACGTGACAACACGTGGTGGTCCTTTACTTTTCACGTGGTGACCTTGGGTCGCATCATCGTGGTCCCCGTGATAACCAGTGGTTAGTCACCTATCTCCAGATTCTCGTTTAATCCAAGTATGTGGACTATCTCGGTGTTTTAGGTCAGCTTTGGGCCTTCTCCCCAACCATCCTAAACTGGGTGAAAATATCCCCCATTACAGACGAATCAAATGATATTTATGTTCTGAAAGTGCTTGGTGTTTGTATTGTATATTACAGTAACAATACAAAGTAGTTTATGCAAATCTTGGACTAGTTCAATTGGAAAAGTGTGATGCAGAAAGTATAGTTCAGGAACTGAAGAAACTTTTAATCAGCAAACTTGAAGAATTAGGCTGCAATTGGTACCGAAAGTGCCTCGGTGATGGTTGGTATAAACAATGGCTTTTATGCCAAGTTGAAGGAAGCTATTCCATCGTTAATCCTTATAAAATGTATATGTCATTCATTGCAGCTAGCATTATCGCATGCTTTATCTGAATGTTTACCAAGGAATTTGGAATACCTTATTGCTGAAACACATAACTGGTTTTCCAAATCATTTGTCAGACAACAGCAATACAAAACATTATATACAGCCTTGAATGATGGTTCCACATCACTGGAAATTCTGTCTAGACTGCAAAACTAGATGGTTATCAATTCAACCAGCTGTTGAAAGAATTGTCAACCAATGGTTGGAGTTGAAGACACACTTGAAAATAACAAGACATAGTGAAAAGTGCTACACAGCTGAAATACTATATGGAATGTACAATGATGAAAAAAATGTGGTATTCCTTTTCTTTTTACAACCTATTCTAATGGAAGTGCTAAAAGTTAATAAACTTTTCGAATCTAAATATGTTGATAAAGTTAAATTACTTGACGATCTCACTTTGCTATTTCACACAGTTGGTAAAAGACTGGTGTTGCCAACTTCTAAAGCCAATTTGCCCACTTGCACTATAGAGAGGTATTTGGCTCTAAAGCCATACCTTTGATATCAAATTGAATCAAAAATTGAAGCTTTAAAAACAAAAGGACTGTTAACAGAGAATGAAGAGAACAACATAAGGAAACGCTATGAAGATTTCCTTGTCTAATTATTCAAGCAGTTGAAGCAGAGACTTCCTGAAAATGCAGATGTATTGAAAAATATTTCACTCTTTTCTGTGAGCAACAAATTTCACCCAGTAAAGGACGTACCTAAATATTGTAAAGTTGAGCAATTTGTAGGGGCTATTGATAATAGTGACGCGGTAGCAGAATATCAGTTAAACAAAATAAACTTAGTTGAATGGACAAATAAAACAGAAACTAAAGCTTTTTGGGGTGAAGTGAGACAATTTAAAGATGACCCATCAAACAGTCAATTCTGTAAGCTCTTTGAATGTGCTATGTCTGCCATGATACTACCCCATTCAAATGCTGACGTAGAAAGAGTTTTCAGTGCTATGAATTATATCAAATCTAACCTAAGAAATAGGATGAAACTTGACCTCTTAAATGCTATCTTGACAATAAAATTCGGCCTAATGAGAGTATGAAAATGCTCCCTGATTGTGTATTAAAAGAAATTGTAACAGCTAAAGCATACCAGGGCCATTTTGAATCTGAAGGTTCAGCTTCATCATTCAAGCTAAGTTTATCCTGTAGATCTTGTGGGGCAGACATCAGTGAAGATAAGGACATGATTCTATAGGGTAAGTCATGTCAAAAGCTATGTAATTTGTGACACTTTCCATTTGGATGTTTTTTTTCTAGATGTTTCCCCTACGCAAATTTAGATGTCTTTAGATATTTTTTTGACTCCGTTCTGGATGTTTTTTGTCAAAGAAGAGTGGCAACATTGGTTTTGAGTCTTCATAATATTTCACTGGAGACAATTCATCCTTAGTTACTGAATGATTTTTCTTCTTCTTTATTATTGTCACTCATATATCTTTAAGTGAATGTGTTTAGTAACGTTTCTAGTTCCTATTATATTCACGACAAGTGCGTGCATTTATAAGCGTTCTGATTTTAATGTTGGTTCAGGTACCACACATGTTCATTTTGATTGATGAATCCAGGGCAGACCATCACAAAAAGACTGGACTCTGAAGTGATTACTTACAGATGTAATAATTTGCGATGAACATACGTCTGTCTTACTGTGTGTATTTACTACTTTTTAGGCCCGTGAAGGACATGACAGCCTTGAGGCTTGAGCCTAAGAATTTAGGGTCCTATGGCCACGAACCAGTTAGACTTAATGCGGCCCTAAGCTATATACATCCATAAGGCCCATACCGTGTTAAATTACACCAGCTGTTCTCAGAAAAACTGTAAAATATAAACACCATTTAAATATATGCATCGTAGAAATATACTGTCGTTTAATTTTTACGAACGGAAATAATAATTTGTTTTAAAATCCTTTGAAAGGTTCTAAGTTACAAGTTAAAGCATTTCTGGTGGAAAGGGGGGGGGGGGGGGGGTTATACATTAAAAGAAAAATTGCATTTGTTAAAAAAGGAGGTTCCTGTAAATTGTAAAGCCCGAATCTGCGCTCGTGGGAAGAGGAGAAAGAAAAACAAGTAGGGGTTTGAGCAAAGAAATGTGGTTAGGACAATAAGAAGTTCTCCGATGAACTGAAAAGAAAAAAAAAATAGGAAAAGACAAAGGTTATTCTGTGCAGGGACCATAAATATTGCTCATAGCCCGGTAAACACACATAGGCAACGCCTAGGCAGACCACGTGAGACCAACTCTGTAGGTTATGATTATATTTATGACCCCATGGAGGAAAAAGGGGGGGGGGGGGTTGTTCTATCACGATTCGAACTCCCATTTTAGAGAGACCAAAAAAAAAAACCACACGCATCTACTAAGAAACATGTCGCAAAAGGCGACTAATGAGAATCTAGCTAGAAATAAGATGTATTTGACTAAAAGACGTAGATATCACAGTCTTGATGTTAACGACAACACAAGGGACCAGCCACTATTTCAAAGACTAAGGCTGAAGAAGAAAAAACCCTAGGAAGAAGACGATGAACCTGCCACTCGGCCAGCTCTCCAAATTAATATACGTCCAAAAAAAAGGTAGATTCTGTAAACAGCAATAGAGACTGTTCAATAGAAGTAAAAAGGAGGATGGCCATATTTGTGTAAAGATTAAACAGCACTACAAGTATGTGGTTAAGCCCTGGCAAAGAAATCAAAGTCAAGATTGGCTAGTAACACCATTTTGCTTCGGAAACTGGAATTTTTTTTTTTTTTTTTTGCCATATCAAGCGCCACAGTGGACAAGAAAGAATAATAGCAGAAGGCATGTGCCAGGAAAGAGGAGCAGAGCTTACCAAAACGAAGATGGGCATAGGATGTGACACTTTGGGTAGGGAAACTTCGGTAGGTGAAAGAGCTGGCGGGAGACCGAATGTCTTTGAGTCAGACAGTGATGTTCGTCCAAAGACCTGCTACGTGATCTTCTTCTTCTTCTTCTTCTTCTTTTTCTTCGTCTTCTTCTTCTTCAGCATTCCGAGCCCTTGAGATTCAGTGCTGCAGATATCACCAGCGTCCACATATCTCTGTGATTAGTCCTCTCTTTCAAGTTGGTGACTCCAAGTTTTCGCAGGTCTGCCTGTACATTAACACTCTACCATCTTCTCAGCTACATGATGCGAAATAAAAAAAAAAAAAAAAAATAGTTTGTCAACAATTCATATGCATTCCACATGGAACGTTTTCAGTGATTCCTCCTCAGTTACAACCCGCAGTGCATAGCGGCCCAAAAAAGCTGTTCTACGATCATTTACTATTATTCTTCAGCTTTCTGAATATGGCTTTTTTTTTTTAAATAAAAAACTTTCAAGTTATAGTAATGGAGCGGCCGTGGGGTGGCGACTAGACGCTCGCCTGCGGATCGGGAGGTTGTGGGTTCGGGGACCTGACGGTGCCGGATCTTTGGCTACCATCTCGACCCAGCCCAGAATAGGTACCAGGTTAAAGTCCTGGGAAGTAAAGGTGACCGGCGTGATGCTACATCACCCTCTGAGTGTCAGTTTGTCTATAAAATATAGGTATAACCCTATATGCCCAATGCGCCTGAAAGCGAGTCTTTTACAAGGCGGCGGATTGTTTTGACTCGGGAAACTGAGTGCGTATTTTGTACAAACACATTCCCCAGACAAAATGAAAGCGAGCAGTACTAGGAACTGTTGAAAGTGAAACCCGAATATACTAATCGATGGAGTCTCGGAAAGAACCAGTTCGCAGCAGAAGAAGAAAATTAACCCTGACATCTGATTCTGAAGATGAGACTGTAAGCATCTCAGTAGAAAAATATATAGTATGCAAAAACAGTAATTTAATTAGTGTTAGTAAATAAATGCCATCTGATTTCTGCAGGCAGTAGATGAGTAGACTGACAGAATATAGTTCAGTTCAGTATGTTTAGAATAAAATCGCGGGTTAGAGTAAAAAGTGTGATGGTTGGTTGGTTATAACTTGTATTATAACTTACAATTTAAATATAAGTTATAATCTTGTATGGGGATGTATCTCGTGCCATTCTCTGTTTGTAATGTCACATCTCGCTGCTAGTAATATAACTTAATTGGCTATCCTCCGAATAATGGGCGGTAAAGATGGCGGCCTAAAAATATCCTGACGAGCCACAGTCACGTGTCAATTGCGCACTAGCGGTCACGAGCACATCGTGGGAAAACTAGGATTAGTATCTGTTGACAATTTTGAGAAACGGAACAAACCACCGAGTTAAACTCGCTGCCGAGAGTCTCCCCTACACGCGGTGTGGATGGGGCTAAACTAGATGGCTGGGAACCACGAGCAGCAGCTTCCACTTCTGCAGATTTGCTCGTGAGTCCTAGCCATCTAGTTTAGCCCCAATCCACGCCACGTGAGCAGCGTGGGGGCCACTCTCGGCGGTGGCGGTAGTCACCGGAAAAGCGCAAATTAAGTCACAGGAGGTGCGCAGTTGACACGTGACTGAGGCCCTGTTTTTGGTCGCCATCGGCCGGCAATCTTTTTTGCTCGTTATTCGAAGGATAGTCTGTTTGTGGATGCTACTAAAGAGAAAGCTGCTTTACCAATCTGGTACGAGCCGCGCCTTGTTCCGATCGTACTTAGCCAAGTTTCAATGGCGTAACAGGCACAAACAGCAGATTTTTGGGCACTGTTTACAACTTCTGTGTCATAATTTCCAGATATAAAGGCATAAAATTATCGGTAAATAGTGGATTTGATATAATGTTTTTTTCGTTCCTTGTTAGTTTTGACTTTAATTTTTGAATGTTTACAACACATGACACGTGACTGGCTCGTCAGGATATTTTGTGGCCGCCATCTTTACCGCCCGTTATTCGGAGGATAGCCAATTAATTAATTAATGCCATTATTGTAATAACTCCCAAACAAAAAACAAACTACAAACCACCAGGCACCAATTTATTGAGCAGCATGTGTTAGGCTGTACATGTTGGGAGATGAATGAAACTCTAGAATATGATGAAAGGTATTTACATAAAACATACTTTACTTTTTAAAAACCCCAACCTTTTGTGTACTATCACTCCAACTGCTACTGCTACTGCCACAATCTATTATTAATACCGTTGCTGTAATCAATTCTTGTATACTGCTGCTGCTATTACTACTTACTGCTACTAATATCAGCTAGGCCAATAATGCTTTTAATACTGCTACTGTTACTATAGTACGGCTACTACTTCTCTCTTACTACTACTAAATTATTACTCCTACTACCACTATTACTAACTGCTACACAATTCATCTACACTGCTTTTGCTACTAATACTGTTTTCTTGCTGCTGCTACTGTTGCTACTCCCACTTCTGATATTTCATTCCATATATATTTTTATGATGACCTGATTTTTAAAATATTTTTGTTTAAACATCTTTATTTTGCATCAGATGTCCATAAAATTGTCTGAATATCAAGTGTTTGAAATTTAATGTTATAGGTGAAATTGGCTTGACTAGATTAAGCATGAAATGGTCTTTCATTTGAAACATTGTATGCTCGAATAGCTAAGAAGAATAGTGCTATCCTGGTGATTTCAGAGTACTTTTCACTGCTTCTGCAGTTTTCAGTGGTCACACCTGTTTTTTTTTTTTTTTTTCTCGATGGCCTGATCTTTTTTTTTTTTTTTTAGGTGGAAGCACATTTCTCCAGATTGGCATACTGATCACAAAATTGTGAATCATTTATTTGCAAACCTTTGTCAGTCAAAAATCTGATGGAAGCATCCACATTTTCTAGCATACAACAAAAATCAATCCACTTGGAGCATTAAAATTAACTCATTGGTTTGACCCACATCTTGAAGTATTCCAAGCTTCTTTAATAAAGTGTTTGCATGTTATTATAGAATACTTTAACTCACTTTCCACCTCATTGATCTTGTCTTTCACATTCAAAGGATGGAAGCTGCTTTTTCTTCTTTCTGTAGTGTCTTGCACTGATAAGAGAACCTTTACTATGAAGGGAAGTCAATATGTAAGTCACAAATGGTTATTGGATGGCAGGAAAATGTAGTTTTTGCTTTCTAAAGGTGTCATTAGGTGACAGCAACATAGAGTTTTATGTCTCCATTCGTTAGATGGCGCTAGGTGTTGCGTGCACATTCACAATACAGAAACAAAATGGTCACTGTACTTACGGAATGTATCCTCAAAGAACAACATGCTACTGTGCGTTTTTCGAGGGGACAAAAGGGCAGCCTACAACGGACATTCATAAGGAAAAGCTTCCTGTTTATGCTGACAAATGTTAACCCGTAAAGCGGTACATAGCTGGGTAAAAACATTTTCTCAAGGACGCTCTTAAAGTGTTGATGAAGTCTGATTTGGTCATCCTGTTACAACAGACGCATTCGTGCAGTGGATGGAGGAGATGATTAGAGGTGACAGGGGAGTAACGATTTACTCTCTAGCAGCTGCAAAAGGGTGCTCACATGGTTCAGCATACAACTTAGCCCCTAGTGATTTCCACCTTTTTGATCCACTGAAAACCCACCTTGGTAGGAGAAATTTCGCGAATGACGCAAAAGTTAAATGTGAAGTGAAAATGTGGTTTAGAAAACAGAGTACACAGTTCTATGCAGCAGGTTTGGGAGGACTCATAAAACAATGGACAAGTGCATCAATGTTGGTGTAAAAATAAACTGTTTTCAAGATATTATCATCTTTAGTATTTTTTTTTAAACAACCAGTTGTGTCTTACTTATTGACTTCCCCTCGTACATCAGTCAGTAAACTGCTTTCCTTTTCTATTTCACTGATGTGAGAAGAAAACACATTGATCACTGCTTGAACATAGTGCTCCCCATAAGGGTTCCAGGTCGACATTGTAGGGGAAAACAAGAACAGACACACTACCTCCCTAATAAGCATCTGGTGAGAGTTGACTAATTGTAGCTTTCTTTTAAAGTAGGAGTACATCTGCCTTAGAGGCAAGAACCAACAGTCTGCACACAAATAAGCCAGCTCTGTAAAAGGACGTGCATGAAGCACTAAGGTTTTAGAACAAGACTACAGACCAGAAGTGGACAAACAATTAGAGCTTTCCCCCTGAGTTTGCAGAGTAAACATGAAGAAGACGAACAGAAACAACCCTTATGCAGCAAATGTATGTACCAGACATACGATCCAAATTATTGCTGGCTTCTTAATCATATCTTCAAATTTTAAAAAAAATGTATATCCTTTCTTTCTGTAAACTCCACCAAACATAGGATTACAATTATCACCCCCAAATGCTATATACTTGCCCTCAAGTCTAAACTTGTATAGTGTCTCAAATAATTTGTAATTGTGTTTCAGCTGTTTCCAAGTAAGTTAACAAAACTGTATGCGGTTACTAAGTGGTTAGAATGTGATGTCGCTGTCAAAGTGTTGATTTTGTTTTGGCTTGTAAAACTGCGGGCAAATCTACAAACGTCCTAAATTTCTTGCAGAAGCTAAAATGTACTCATGAAATGACTACATGTCTGCAAAAATGAGGAGCTCTGACAACCCTCCTACTACCTCTATATCTTCTTCTTCTTTACATTTGGTTTCAAATGCTCAGATCAGACCATCAGGTGGGTTGCCTCTATGAACTTGCATGTCAGCAGCAGGTCCTTCATGGTTCCCTGTAGCTTACTCTGCACACTTTGCTCTTGAGGCCAGGTGTCTTTTCGAAGTTGTTGGTAGAGTGGGCAGGTCTGCAGAATGTGCTCAAGTGTTTGTGGTCATTTTTGACAGGCACACTGTGGGGACTGTACAATCTTAATTGTATGCATGTGGTAGTTGATACCTCTTTTTTGTTTATTGCTACTACTTACTGTTGCTGATAATCTGCTACACTACTACTGCTGCTACTTCACTACTGCTGCTACTGTTGCTGCACCACTGCTGCTGTTACTGCATTACTACTGCTACTACACTACTGCTGCTACTCATGCTACTACACTACTTCTGCTACCACACTACTGCTGCTACTGTTACTACACTATTGCTGCTACTGTTACTACACTACTGCTGCTACTGTTACTACACTACTGCTGTTATGTTACTTTTCTACTGCTGCTGTTCATGCTACTACACTACTAATGCTATTGTTGCTGCACCACTGCTGCTGTTGCTGTATTACTGCTGCTACTTTTACTGAACTACTGCTGCTGCTGTTTTTACACTACTGCTGCTGCTGTTACTACACTGCTGCTGCTGTTACTACACTACTGCTGCTATACTACTGCTGTAACTGTTACAGCACTACTGTGGCTATTGTTACTACACTACTGTGGCTACTGTTACTTCACTACTGCTGTAACTGTTACAGCACTTCTGTGGCTTTTGCTACTACACTACTGTGGCTACTGTTACTTCACTAATGCAGTTACTGTTACAGCACTACTGTGGCTACTGTTACTTCACTAATGCAGTTACTGTTACAGCACTACTGTGGCTGTTGCTACTACACTACTGTGGCTACTGTTACTTCACTAATGCAGTTACTGTTACAGCACTACTGTGGCTGTTGCTACTACACTACTGTGGCTGCTGTTACTTATTACCTTGTTTATTTCTGACAGAGAAATGCAGAAAGAGATAAAAGTGCACAAAGAAGGTCGTCTCGTATTTATGGAAAACAACATAAGCCAGAGTTTAGACTTCCTTCTCGGGACACTATCTGGAATGATATTCCGTCTGTCACAACCACATCAGCCCTAAGAAGACTTACACCTAAAAAAACGGTGAATAATTTCACTAAAGTGTGAGTACAGATTTATCAACATCTTTATTTATCAACATCTTCACATGTAACAAATATGTAGTATTTAATGATTTGTATAGCTCTACACAGGGATTCTCTTTCTGGTGGTTCACAGTGGTACGTAATACCGGCAACTTTAGTGAGGCATAGTCCTTTCAGCGCTGCTATAATAGACACTTTGTGGTGAATACCGGCCAGCTTTTTTAGACATTTTGTGGTGACTACTGGTACGTTTGTTTTCTCATGAAATAAGAAACCCTGGCTCAAGTTTGTTATGTTTCTTTTGAACAATTTTGTTTCCAGATAAAACATATGTTAAACAACCAGGCAAGTGATTTTTAATCCACAGCCAAATGTGTGGCCTGTGTTTAACTCTTTGAGTCCCAAGGAACGCATCATATGTTCATGGCTTCCTACCCAGAAGCCCAATGTACGCATGATGCGCCGATTTTATGACTTTTTTTACTAGCCCCTGGGCCTGTAATGCTAAACCCCCTGGGACTCAAAGAGTTAATTGAATGTGTTTGAATAGGTAGCCTTTATAGAATCTATTTATATTATTCTTGGTGGTCCTCTACCTCTAGAACCAAAGCTTCTTTGGTTAGAAACTTTGTACTTGATTGACCATCCTTCTCACAAAATGTCCACATCTGTTTATTAGTTTTCAGAATTTCATTTTCAAAATAGATATGAAATTATTCAATTGATGGTTATATGAAGAATAAAATGGTACGACAAAATCATCTGTTTCCAGCTGTGGGAAAGAACTAAACAAAGTACAATAAACCCAGAGGTGAGGAAAAGACACTGGTATGTGGATAGATCACAGTGGGGGGAAAAAAAACACATAAAAGTAAAACCAGAATGTCTTTACACTGAAATCCAAAGAGTCACTTGTGTAAAGGGAGACTAAAGAGCAAAAACAAAAAGAAAAATGCACACATGCATTCACACACACACAAGTGAAGGCAGACCCAACAACAATTACAGAAGGAGGTGAGGGGATGGGGGCTAGCTGCATGCGGTGGTGATGGATAAGATGACTCTCTCAATTGATTGAAAGAAAGCATGTGCTGTTTTGTAGGATAAAGAATGAGCATATTGATTTCTACAGAGTGAAAGACTGAATTATGAAGACAACAGCAGCTTGCACCAGTCAGGAAAGTAATTTTGTTTTGATTTAAAGGTTTGATAGTCTAGGTTTATCTAATACATTGATTTCCTTCAGTCCTGCACCTGAAATAAGATGCAAAATAAATTAAACATTTATGCTAGCAGGTCACATACAGTCTATTAGATGTATACATTTTTAGAGGAAATACAAACGTAACATGAAAACATTTACCAGTTAATTGCCTGATTTCCCTTAGTGAAACCTCACTTTAGGAAGTGGTCATTACATGGATTGGTTATAGTGGACATACCATTCGGAAATAGATTGAGATATCAAAAATTAGAATGCAAAGGATGAGAAAAGCTTTCATGGCACAGAAAAAGCTTTCATAGCACAAGTAAATATGTGGACAGAAAGAAATTAAATCTAACAAGTTTAGAATATATTAATCCAGTGTAAAATCGCACTCTTGTATGGACCAGACAAGAGAATGACTAACGATGCTACTAATTTCAATACATTCATTAATTAGTATTTGGGCAGAATAAAATTACTGAAGTGATTTGATAGAATGAAACAAAATATAGCTCCTGGAGAGGACTGAACAAAGTATAGACACACATTCAGTCCCAACAGCTGTTGCTGCAAATCCCAACAAGGAAACATTACTAATATAAATAACAAGTCTGTTACTTTTGCAGAAATTAGGTTCATTGTGGAAGTGGTAACTTGGGATGTCAGATTTCTTCAGGATGATCAGCACATTTGTGTGTGTGTGTGTGTGTGTGTGTGTGTGGGGGGGGGGGGGGGAAGGGGAAGATACTACATTACATTATGGTTGAATGCAGTTGTTCATTGTTTGGTGCTAAATGAGTTTAGAGAAGTTTAGAAAACATGTTAATAGTATAACTGGAATGTCCTTCCTCTGCAAGCCATGGGCCACAAGAAATAGATATCTACAAACATATAGAGAAGAGAATTAGAGACAAATGAGAAATGTGGAGACAAAATGGAAGAAACTGCAAGAAACAGGAAATGCTATGAGTGTCTGGTTAAGGACCCGTACTACAAAGAGGTATAGTAAGCAAAAGAAAAAGATAAATCATGATGATGTCTACTCAGCATCTGGTTTGAACATATTAAATTTACTACTAAATAAGCTGTGCTTTGTTTGTCTTTTAAAGATATAATAATTACAACTATGATGATTTCGAAGACACAAGTGATGATGATTCCTCTATTGAAACCTCAGACTCGGGAGAGGAGAAAGAGGTAAGAGCTGTACCAGGTGCAAGTAATGATTGTTTAGTTCAGAAATGAAAATGAACATAGGACATACAATAACATGCTCTTATAAAGCTGAAGTTAAAAGGATCGATTTTGTTGCAGTGAGTTTTATCCCATATGGCCTGGACTCTCTATATACAGGACAGCTAGCTGCTTGCTGAGAATCGCTCACAGAGTACGAACTCTTTATCTCCAGAGATAATCCCTGTGGGACTCTGGAAAAACTGAACGACATGTTAGTGAAACGAACCCATGATTTTCAGACCATGACACAAACAGATGCTCTTTTTATGTCAGCAAAACATTATAATCATGTAGATGGTCCTTTGCAAAACATGACTCCAACCACAGCCCATAATGCTGTTTTAATTATGCCACAGTTCAAAGGCCTCTTATTTCTTCTGTAATGATGACAAAACTTCCTGTGACTCATCTCTGTATGTTGTGGCAGGAAAGATGCATTTTTCTCAGATTTGTACTTTAGTTTGCTGGTGTTGAATTATGGGCTCAGTGTGTTTAACATTTGCATTGCTATAGCCAGTCTCTTTCTGACTTATGTTTTTCTTCTTCTTCTGTGCTCAGTCTTAAAATGGCAGCTGGCACATTGTAATCTACAGCTTAGCAGTGATATCTGTGTCTTTCGGCATAGTCATCTAATTTAAGCAGAATAATGGTTAATCGTTTTGTTATTACCTGCTTGTTAAAGGTTCAGTGGTTTTATTCTTGTTCCCTCTCAGAACTGGGTCCCCGAACCTACCTGGGGAAATAGCTTCTAATGAAAAGTCTCCAGTGTTGTTTGTTATGGAGCGCAGCTAATAAAACTTTGTCATTGTTAATTGTCATTTTTGGTTGAGATATCTTCTTCTTCTTCTTTGCGTTCACCAGCTGTAAATTCTGGCAGAAAGATCTGGTTGTTTATCCACTTCTGAACTGCAGTCTGGTTCCAGAACCTGAGTGTTGTGAGTACATCAGTTTGACAGATCTGACCAATTTAATTGAAGACTGTTGGTTCCTTGGCTCTCAGGCAGATGCACTCCAACTTCAAAGAAAGCTCCCAATTAGTCGACTATTACCACATGCTTTTGTGTAGGCAGTGGGTCTATTCTTTTTTTCCCTATAATAGGGCCCCGGAACCCACACGGGGAGGTTGCTGAGTATGTACATCGTTTTGTTTTGAAGCAAAAATATATTTTGATCTTTACTGTTCCTTGTGTGGGTTCTGCTATTGGGGGGGGGGGGGGGGGGGGGGGGGGGGTTTACCAACTTCCATGTGTCGTAAAAGAAAACTAATTAAGGCTTTGCTGAAATCGAAAGTTTTGGGTTAAAAGGCACAAATATCACAGCTTAGCTTTAACCCACAACACAACCTGCCAACTGACCTTTTAAGGTTGAATGTAGAAGATGATTAGCCATTTTTAGTCTACCGATTTCTAATTGTATCAAAAATGAGTGCATTAAAAAAAATCTTCGGGTAGCTCTTGATTGCTCAAGGATACTCCTGTTGTTACCACAGTAAGTCTCACTTGTTTGTCAGTTTAATTTTGTGAAATCGTAGACACAGCAACAAAAAGGGAAATAGCACATAATATTACAAACCAATCTAACGCTAAAATTCTGCCTAATACACTACACAGTTTACATAAAACATCTATAACACAATGAAATTATTCCTAATATAACAAGCAACATTAACACACTGAAACTCTGCATGCTGTTCTAATCAACACTATCACAATGAAATCATATACATTGTTACAAACAGCAATAGAAAATGTGAAATGGTACACAGTGTTACAAGCAACAATAAATACTGTGAATTTTAAAATAATTTAGAAACAACATAAGATGTGAAATTCTAAAAAAAAATTTAAATGAAGAATCTTCATCATCATCTTCATGACATGCCATGTAAGTAAGTGAGGGCAGTTGTGGTTTGCAGCCAACCATATTGATTTGGAAAGCAAGGGAAAGCCCTTAATCTATATTCTTACAAAAAAAGTTTGTTTATATCTTTATTTTTTTTTTTTTTACTGTTCTTTGCAGAAACAGCACAGAATTAAAAACTATCACAAACGACTTCAAGTGCCATCCAGTTCCAGCGATGATGATGATGATAGGAAATTGGATGGATCACAGAGAAAGCTCCAGCAGACCGCTAAATGCTTGCTGAAGGAGCAAGAGAAAACAGGAACTGTTGCAGTCGTCAGTTTGACTGGCAGTGAGCTTGTTGATGATAGCAGGATTGATGCAGACCTTGCAGCTCCAACAGCTGCTGTTGATTCAGAGGACAGTAATGCTAGTGATATACTGTCACCTTCTAGAAATGGACATTTGAAAAATTGTTCGGTGCTTCTTAGTGATGACGACAGTGCAGAAAATGATGATAATAATAGTGACAAAGTTGTTGACAGTCATGAGGAACAGGATAGTGTTTCTGGGTCTTCAGAGAATGACTCTCCACTTGAAAGTAGGAGATGTACGTTAGAGAAACAAAAGCTGAAACAGTTAAATATGTTTCAGAAGTTGAAAGAGGCACAGGCTAAAAGAAAGAGAAGTATTTCAAAAACTTGAAATACATATATATATTCTCGTGGGAACCTGAAAGAATATGAGTTCTCCTTTTGTTGTGTATCTATGTATATAAAGGTATTCTCTTAGGTGGTAGTAGTTCTGTTAGGGTTGAAAGTGTTAGCTTTCAGACATACTAGGCCATTGGAATTTGAACTCTTTGCTTGTTGCTGAAGATGGGGACGGAGCACTTATGGGAGCGTCAAGAGTGCTGCAGTGTCGATTCTTGATTCAGCAACATACAGCATACTAGGCCACAATATACGAGGTTAGGAGTGAATGTACAGTTATCCACACGTGCGTCACATGTGTCCATACACTTGCACAGAGAGAAAGAAAGAGAGAAAGACTTCTTAAACTTGTTTTTGTATTAGCAATTGTAATATCCCTTTTATTATGTTTTATACTTCAAAAACTACATTTGTACCCGAAATTGCATAAAATATGTGCTTATTATTATTGTTATTATTTTTACATATAGATGTGATGCCTGAATTCAAGAAAAATGACCCGATTAAAGAAATGTCTAGACAGCTGGTGGTATAAAAGAAATATATTGAGCACATTCTGACACAAAGCAGGCAAAACAAGTCCTGAAATGAGAAACAAATGGAACTGAAGAGGTGAGGACATCAAGAGAAACTCGACAACACATGTTGACGAGACAGACTAGAGGTTTCAGACAGGATTCCATACATAAAGTTGGAAGGTTGTACAGGATGGAACAGAAAGAAGGAATCAACGGCAAGCTCTAGAAAATGTGTAACAGTACAATAGGATGCTGTCTGAATACCAGTTATTTTCACATAATTTAGCCACCAGTATTTATGTATACAGCACTGCCAGCATAAATAACAATTGATACCATTTAAACATCCTATACAAAGCATATTCATCGCTATGTTATGCTGCCAGTGCCAGACATTTTCACTCCCAACACACTGGAAATAAAACATTTTAACAATAAAAATGAGATGTCTAAAAATGGTTGTGGGAGAAATCACAAGAGAATAGGTATAAAGTCATAAAAGAAAAATTCAGCATAGAACCTATACTGAATTATATATAAACCCAGTTTACCCACTTAGAGAGATTAGTTTGTGAAGCTTTACCATACAACACATTTACCAAAGGAGTAGAGCTCAAGATAAACCAAGTACAATTGAAATGATAACATCAGAGAAACTCTACAACAGTGCCAAGTCTCTTTGGTTGTGGCAGCTTAAAGAGCCAGAAACCTGTATCTTTCCTGACTTCCTGAAATGGTAAAAGAGGAAGTGAAGAAGAAGAAGATATTATCATCAGCATCAAGTACCTTGCTGATATTCGTGGACAGTCATGCCTCCCCACAACCACTATCTCCAGTTCTTGTGCTGACACCCTCCCATCCTATAATAATAGGTTGTCAAGAATATGCTGTCTTCCTCTGTCTCTCTTTCTTTAAATCATTCCAGTAGTCAAAACATGATCCAGTTCCCCTTTTACCATAACATGGCCACAAAAATAATGTCTCCCTCTGGTGTTTCTGATGTTGTCTTCGGGCCCTCATCGCTTTGAAAACACCTGAGCTGGGAAAAATTCCATTAACTAGAGAAGCAAAATCATACTGTTGAATTAATGACACTGTAATCAAGCCGCAGTGACCTATATACTGTTGATTTTTTTTTTTTTTTACCATTTGCCCTGCCACATGAATTGTTATTCCCAAAGTGTCTTTAAAAATGTTCACTACGGTGTTGGTCTTTGTCTTCTTCTTTTGTTCATTGACTGTAAACTCCAGCAGAAAGTTCTGGTTGTTCATCCACTTCTGGACTTTCATTTTATTCCAGAGCTTGAGCTTTGTGTACATACCTGTTTTACAGATTTGGCTTATTTATATGCAGACTGTTGGTTCCTCACTTCTCAGGCAGATGCACTTTGACTTTGAAGAAAACACCTAATTAGTCACCTTTTACAGCAGGCTTGTTACAGGGGTAGTATTATATCCCCCACCCCCTCCCCCATAAGGCCCTAGAACAGGGCTATTCAACTGGCGGCTCGCGGGCCAAATCTAGCCCGCCGAGGCCTAGCAAGTGGCCTGTTGATCGTTGCCAAAATAGTGGAATGTAGTTATTAAAAAAAAAAAATTTAAATAAATAAATGTTGCGGTATAAATCTTCAAAAACCAGTCGTGTCGAATGTGTCAATAGGAAATGTTTGTCAGGGATCTGTAAAAGAAGAGATACAAGGGAACCGGCATAGGAACAGAAAAAGTAATGAGTTCAGGGTAAAAGTTGTTTACAGTTCGTTCAATTAGCAAAACTCACCTGGTTGAAGCCAAAGGTAATAAGATAGGCTGGAACAGGTAGAAAAACCACCACTGCACTGGACAGTCAATGAAGAGGAGAAAATATATTGGCACGGTCCTGACAGTTACAGCTTAGATTACAGAGAAGCTCTCCTAGTGGCCACTAGTGCACACACACTAATGACATTGGGCGCAGCAGAACTTCAGTGACACTGGACACCGCAGAATACCTGCTAATGATCTTGTTATCAGATTAAGACGGTAACATACGAGTCACAGTCAGACGTAGATTGCTGGGCGCGATTGTACAGTAACAAACTGAATCAGTAACAGTGTTTTACATTATCTACTTTTAATAATTTAGTTAAATACTTGATGCCATGGCTAGCACTAGTAAGTGAGCAAAGTTGGGATGTGAAAATCGTGCATTCAATAATGACTGGACACTGAAATATTTATTTATATCACCAACTTTGCCTAATTCGAAACCAGTATGCTTGCTGTTTTAACAGCAACTAGCTTTGGGACAGAGCATGCTGCAGGAACTGCCGGATCAAAAATGCAGGGATCTGTACACCTCTCAGAGCTTCACTTCAAGGCCAGCTGATATCCAAGGCTAAGAGCCTAGTCTGCCCTGCGATAACATTCAGTTTTCACGTTGCATATCCACTTTCACGGATAAGGCTAAAATCTACTCCAATGTGCTTCTCTGCCATAAGCCAGCTACATAATGTGCTTCTCTGCCATAAGCCGGCTACACAATGTGCTTCTCTGCCATAAGCCGGCTACACAATGTGCTTCTCTGCCATAAGCCGGCTACACAATGTGCTTCTCTGCCATAAGCCGGCTACACAATGTGCTTCTCTGCCATAAGCCGGCTACACAATGTGCTTCTCTGCCATAAGCCGGCTACACAATGTGCTTCTCTGCCATAAGCCGGCTACACAATGTGCTTCTCTGCCATAAGCCGGCTACACAATGTGCTTCTCTGCCATAAGCTGGCTACACAATGTGCTTCTCTACCATAAGCCGGCTACACAATGTCCTTCTCTGCCATAAGCCGGCTACACAATGTGCTTCTCTGCCATAAGCCGGCTACACAATGTGCTTCTCTGCCATAAGCCGGCTACACAATGTGCTTCTCTGCCATAAGCCAGCTACACAATGTGCTTCTCTGCCATAAGCCGGCTACACAATGTGCTTCTCTGCCATAAGCCGGCTACACAATGTCCTTCTCTGCCATAAGCCAGCTACACAATGTGCTTCTCTGCCATAAGCCGGCTACACAATCTGCTTCTCTGCCATAAGCCGGCTACACAATCTGCTTCTCTGCCATAAGCCGGCTACACAATGTGCTTCTCTGCCATAAGCCGGCTACACAATCTGCTTCTCTGCCATAAGCCAGCTACACAATGTGCTTCTCTGCCATAAGCCGGCTACACAATGTGCTTCTCTGCCATAAGCCGGCTACACAATGTGCTTCTCTGCCATAAGCCAGCTACACAATGTGCTTCTCTGCCATAAGCCAGCTACACAATCTGCTTCTCTGCCATAAGCCAGCTACACAATGTGCTTCTCTGCCATAAGCCGGCTACACAATGTGCTTCTCTGCCATAAGCTGGCTACACAATGTGCTTCTCTACCATAAGCCGGCTACACAATGTCCTTCTCTGCCATAAGCCGGCTACACAATGTGCTTCTCTGCCATAAGCCGGCTACACAATGTGCTTCTCTGCCATAAGCCGGCTACACAATGTGCTTCTCTGCCATAAGCCAGCTACACAATGTGCTTCTCTGCCATAAGCCGGCTACACAATGTGCTTCTCTGCCATAAGCCGGCTACACAATGTCCTTCTCTGCCATAAGCCAGCTACACAATGTGCTTCTCTGCCATAAGCCGGCTACACAATCTGCTTCTCTGCCATAAGCCGGCTACACAATCTGCTTCTCTGCCATAAGCCGGCTACACAATGTGCTTCTCTGCCATAAGCCGGCTACACAATCTGCTTCTCTGCCATAAGCCAGCTACACAATGTGCTTCTCTGCCATAAGCCGGCTACACAATGTGCTTCTCTGCCATAAGCCGGCTACACAATGTGCTTCTCTGCCATAAGCCAGCTACACAATGTGCTTCTCTGCCATAAGCCAGCTACACAATCTGCTTCTCTGCCATAAGCCAGCTACACAATGTGCTTCTCTGCCATAAGCCGGCTACACAATGTGCTTCTCTGTCATAAGCCGGCTACACAATGTGCTTCTCTGTCATAAGCTGGCTACACAATCTGCTTCTCTGCCATAAGCCGGCTACACAATGTGCTTCTCTGCCATAAGCCGGCTACACAATGTGGGATGTCAGGAAATGCCACCCAACATTTGGGTTAACAGAGAACACGTAGTACTGACTACTATTATATAACAAGTGGTTGTGAGAAAAGAGATAAAAGTAACAAGATAGGTTGTTAATATAACCAGAAGGAAGTTAAAGTAACAAAATGGTCATAGAATGCTGTATAATGATGTTTTGAGCACGAATTATTAAAATAACACACTGGTTAATGTAACAACTTCTGAAAGATCTCGGGTAACAGTGTCTGCCAAAAAACTGCCAATTACCACTTTTGAGGTGTAGGGGGGGGGGAGGGGGTGTCTTTGAGCCTGGGGATTTATGGCCGCATGGCTAGTGCTGTCCCCACGACTGCAGGAGAGGATTTTATTTTGCCCCCAACAACAACAAAATCACCAGCCTTACCGAGGATTCGAACCTGGGTCTCCTGCTTGGCAGCCCAGCGTTCTAACCGTTCGTCAGCCGCTCGGCCAGCTCCAGATTTATAGATACAGCCGGACGTGTCATGTCATGTGTGGAAGGTTATCGCCACGTTTTTCTGTCTAATATATGCCAATCGTTCTTTATACAGACCAAACTGTCTATCATCTTTTCGCTTAGTCTCACTCTGATTCTTGTCCGCTGACTTTCCCACAGGTTATTAGTCGCAGTCAACAGGTCACCCCATAATAACTCCGTTCTAGTGCAAGTCAAAACCACAGGAAGTGTCCATCATTGTCCCATTTTTAAAGAGGATCATAAAAATTAAACAAACAGTCCGGTCATTATTCAGTAGATAGTACACGCATTAAATACATATGGCGGCTGCCCGGGTTAGCAGCACTAACATTGATGTATGTCAAAAGAATTGCAGTTTATCGTTGGTGAAAGCAGCAGGCACGACAAACCAGCAGACCAAACACGTTATATTGCATTCGGTATATAGTCACATTCATTCCCCTGAAGGTTGAAACCACAACCTTTCCCTGGGTTACTGGGAAGAACACGATCCAGTTTGCGAAGGTGAGGTAGGCCTGGGCGAGATAAGATGATATAATAGGAATCTTGTATTACCGAGACATTAAAATGTCCATGGACCGTGTTGTGGGGAGGGGGCACATCAAGAAGAAAATGATAATGAAAAAAGAAAGGATTGCAGAAAAGATTAGAGCTGAACGCCTGAGAAGAAACAAACTAAACACAAAAGTTGACAACAACGGTCCTGAAATCCCATGCAATAATTGTAGAAGAATTGTTTTCAGGCGGCTGGGTCTTGCTAGTCACACTCACCATCGCCATGGGCTTTGAGTCCCATTCCTCCTCATAGCGTGATATAACACTGTCAACTGGAAAAACGGAAAGGTGCCAATAAATTATTGAGGAGGCATTAAGTACTGTATTGCTGAAACATTAAGAGTCTTGTATTGCCGAGACATTAAAAGTCTTGATATAAGACATTAAGCCTTGAATTTCTGAGACATTTTAGATTTATTCTGCACTAATTTCTCTTTAATTTGATATATGTTGTCTCTATAAAGCATATACTTTTGCTTCACAAAGGTTTTAGCTTTATCGCGTTGCAGTTGTAAAAAAAATCCACTTAAAATTAATGCTGTCCAAAAGTCAGAAAAAATGTCCTGTAAGAGTCAACACTTTAAATATTTAGGGAGCATCTTTAAATATGAGTCGGCTCTGTGGCTAAGTCGATGCGAACGCTTCGTAATGCCGGGTTCGATCCCATCTGTGGACCATGCGTCTTGCGTTGGTTTCGACAGTGGTATCAAGAAAGCAATAGCAAACTACTAGACGTAAATTTGCCAGGGGCTGTTGGGGTTTGTTCTGCAATGTTCTGTAAAGGATACGCAACTAACCTTTACATATGAAGGCAGAATAGACAGAATTGGAAACAAGAATCCAACAAGCTAACAATGTAAGTTATCAAGTGACCCCAATTTTGAAACACCTGGCTATCCTAGTACAGAAAAGAAGACAAATTATAAATGCAGTCTTCATACTAGTCTTCTGCTATGTCTGCTATCAGTGTCAGACTGGGACACTGGCTAAAGAACGCGAAAATAAAATTCAACTGTGAACAACTTTTAGCAAGAATAACGTCAAAAACTATTCAAAAACCATTGGTCATTTCTAAAACAGGTATCAACAGAGTAAACGTCAAACGTTTTTAAACTGAAACAAAATTTCAAACAAGGATAAATTTCCAAAATTTTTGGATTATTGAGATACTTTCTTTCGAACGGATGTCAACTTTAATAAATGCACATTTGAGAAAAGACGTGAACAAAACTAGATAGATCATGTGAGAAAATAAAGAACTATTGGAATAACGTCTATAATTAAATTCACTGAAAAACAAAAGCTGAAATGATTGGGCCATTTAATGAGAATGATTCCAGCAGCGAGAGCGAACAGCGTGTAAATTGAAACACCAAGAGGTAACTCGGGAGTTGAGATCGCCATTGCTAAAAGCTAGGGGCACACTTTGAATACAAAAAGACTTATCAGTCAACAAAGAAATAGCACTATTAGTAACAGGACGCTGGGGTTCATACTGAGAGAAGGATCTGACACCTATGGACATGTCCGGAGTGCAATAATCATAACCCAAACTAACTAACCTAGCCAACTAACCAAGGGGTATTAGGAAGCTAAGAAGAATATGGATTGAAGTCAATGATACTGACACTTCAGACTCCACACATCCACTGCTTAACGGGCAGCCAAGCAGGTACAAACTCTGGAACCGATCATCTGTTAACCTACGACGTCTAGCGGTACAAAGCAGAAAATTGACAAAAGAAAGAATAAAGCTCTAGATGTAATATATTGTAGAGTATTTTTTTCTCTTCAAATAACTGTGATAATAAAAGTATATTATTTTTGTGCATACTGAAAGAAATGTAAACAAAATCTAATTTGGCTCGAAAACTGCGAATTTTATACTGCTCTGCTGCAACTTGTGGCGTGTTTGTTTTAATAGTCCTTCCTATGTCCTCACGCAACCTGAAATAGTTGAAAACTTTCTGTGTTCAAAAGACACTTATATTGACACTTAGTGCATTTCTAAGCCATCGTTGTTTAACAGACGACTGTTTAGAATGTTTGCACAAGCAAGGTAAGTGTACTATCTGTATCTGCAAGATGCCGATATTTTTTTTAACAGGCTGCAGACTGTTGCAGGTGACACATACTAGTACTACATACCATACATCGTCTGGCATTTTCATTTTTATTTTGTTTTTGTACTAAACTAGATGGCTGGGACTCATGAGCAGCAGCTACCGCATCTCCTGCAACTTCCTCCAATTAATTTGCTCCCAGGCACCTAGTTTAGCCCCCATCTGCGTAGCGGCGCAGGGGATACGCTAGCTACTTCAGTAAAATTTTTAAAATGCCCTCTACACCAATAAAACCAGCACAGTTAGATAGCTGTGAACAATCTCTTTCCAATGGTACCTCATTTAGGCTTGTATGTCATTTTTGAGCTGAGATATTTAGGTTTTTGTGGAGATGAGATGTAAGAAACAGCCGCTAAAACTTGTGACCCACAAACAAGAAGTTTTTTGACTGCGCAACCTACTGCGCAGTTCTGTATCGGCTTTGTTGACATTGGACTGTCATTGGACAAGATGGCAGGCAGTGAGACTCAGCTCACTCAGCCGCATGCGATTGCCTAAAAAATGTCACTGTACATCTACCTAGCCACGTACCAGAAAATTTTTTTTATACACAAATGTAAAATTGGACGGAGAATTCAATTATAACTAGCATTACCAGGACCAGTAACAGTTAAAGCCTAAAGCCAACCTCGAATTTACCGCTATTTTCAATCAAACTGATGACTAACAGAAAAACAGAGAACGTCCGGCTTTCGTAGACATGCGCTGTTAATCGAGTTCCTTCCCGCCGTTTTCAGCTATTTAGAGTGGGTGAAAATCACACCAATCGCAAAATTTCATGAGAGATTAGGACCCATCCCGAAACCCCAGCCGACATTTCCGAAACAAGTTTTAAACGGTTTCTATGGTAACGGAAATTGTCGAAAAGATCGCAAATTTCAGAAACTGTAGTGCCTAGATACGCTCGGTGGTGAGTTTAATCGCATTTTGCCCATGCTATTATTATCGTCTGCTACTATCGTCAGCAGAAACGCTCAAAATTGTCAACGGTCGCTATTATCGTCTGCTACTATCGTCTGCAATGTTGCGTCTCTTGAAATTGTCAAGTTACCTAGTTTTGCCACGATTTGTTCCTTGGCAGAAAGTCCGCATTTTACATATGCCTGAGCCCCGTAACGATTTTTTATGGCCGCCATAATATCGGGTTGAAGTTCGGAGGAAGCCCTTAATTTTAAAGCATACGTGATGACACCCACACACACATATAGATACAGCAACACACAGATGTGTACTGTACTATATATACACACTTGATGTATGTACACACACAACACACACACACACATATATATATACACACACAGTATAATAATAATAATTGCCCTGGCGCCTCCTACTTTACTGTGAGATTTGGACACTTATTGCTTTGTTAGTAGTATCTTGAGTATCACATCGGCTGCCTCTTCTACCCTGAACATTTCCTGTTTCCCATTGTAAACTGGGAGTACACCAGCAAACCTGAGGTTACCACATTTAGCGAGGCAATCAAGGGATAGGTGTAATAACTCTTTCAAAACCAAACAGTGCACAGTGTGTGACTGGATTTACTCATATGCACCAGTCAGACTATTATTATGCTTGAAATGCTAAATATAACACAAAATATGACCTGAAAGCTCAACATGGATTTGGAAAAGACTCGCACAAATACAACCAAACGTTTCGACCAAAGTCTTTATCAACGGAATACTAAATACAGCACAAACTGACTGGAAACGTCAATGGACAAGACAACAGAGCTAATAAAAAACCAAGGTCAGCATGAAACCAAGAAGTACATAATCATCATCATAAACCACTTCTGCCATTAAGCAGCATGATGATGAATAATTTGCAATCCAGTGCGCGTTCGCTGCTGCTCGCTAATGTCATGCCATAAAAGCGTAGTGTCTTTAATGTTGTTTAATGTTGTCGATCCATATCTTGCTCTTGTAGCTGATCTGTTGAGATTTAGTGCTTGTGATGGTATTTGATCTTGCTGCATTCTAACGAGATGGCCAAACCACTTGATCTGCTGTTTCTCGATGAATCTAGTACAAAGTGTCATTCCCACAATTTGTCTAATAGTATCATTATTCACTCGATCTCGGATGGTTAGGTTGGCCGCTTTTCTCAGGCATCTCATCTTGCGTGTGGTGATGTTGCGCACATGGGCTTTTGTTAGTGTCCATGTTTGGCATGAAGTACGTAATATAGAGGGAAATATAAAAAAATGAAGGGCTATAATACGCAACTAAATAAATAAGGTGTATGTAACAAGAGGCGGAGAAATCTGAATAATTTGAATAAATGAACAAGTAAATAAATTAAAATAAAATAAAACTATTGAATAATGATCCCTTCAGGACTCAGAACACTAAAACTATGGATGAAACTAATGAGTTGCGGCTGGTTTGATCACCGGAGCAAGATTTTATAGCAGTGACTGTATTTTTATTATTATGTTTGTACATTTTATGTTTAGTCAGGGCATAGTCATACACCCAACACCACACTGGTTTCCCCACAGGGGTTGTGTGTTTAGCTCCTGTAGATGTGGTATACCCCTGATTTTGTTGTCATTATTGTCTCATTTGAAATTCATTTACGACCTTTTGGAACTGAACATGATAAGCAGTGAACCCATATGTGCCTAAAACCCCTTCCCCACTTCCCAAATTCCTTAAGGCAGCTATGTGGCCCTCTTCACTCTTATATAGAAATTCTTTTTTAAAAGTATTTGTGTATACATTTCATATTTTTTCAAACATAAATATGTGTATTTGAACAAAGAAGACACAAACAATAGACTGCACAATTTATTGCCTGGCATATTTCGCTGTATCTCATCAGGTGCATACTACAGTAACAGTTAATTAAAATGAAGCAAATAGCTGAATCCTAGAAACTGAAACACAAATTCGAGTAGATTTCAAACTGTTTCACCAAGGTAAACGTAGGGCAACGACCATTTCTTTTTGCCTACATAGTTCCGGTTTCAATCTGCCAATCGCTGAAGCTTCTGCGCATTGAAGTAATCTACGGTTAGCCGAATTGTAAATAATTTGGAATGCATCATCCCTGTCTATATACATCTAACGTTTCTGGGAGACGACGTCGTGCAACTTATATATGACCGACTCAAAACAGCAGTCCGTCAAACCTTTTACGCAGCCATGCCTGTTATGAGATTTAAAACCACCAGGATTCCTACACCACCAGTAAAAGAACCAGTGTCGACGTACGCCAGATCTAACTGTATATACCAATTTAAATGCACCTGTAACGCTGCAAATGTGGGCAGAACTGATCGACGACTGGAACAACGGGTTGCTGAACATATTCCACTATGGTTGGTAAAAGCAATGCAGAACACTAACACCTTAATAACAACGAATCAGGTGACTGGTCAAAATAATCCATCATCAGCAATTGCGTGCCATATTCTAAATTCCGGGCACATCATTAACAGGGATGATGCATTCCAAATTATTTACAATTCGGCTAACCGTAGATTACTTCGATACGCGGAAGCTTCAGCGATTGGCAGATTGAAACCGGAACTATGTAGGCAAAAAGAAATGGTCGTTGCCCTACGTTTACCTTGGTGAAACAGTTTGAAATCTACTCGAATTTGTGTTTCAGTTTCTAGGATTCAGTTATATGCTTCATTTTAATTAACTGTTACTGTAGTATGCACCTGATGAGATACAGCGAAATATGCCAGACAATAAATTGTGCAGTCTATTGTTTGTGTCTTCTTTGTTCAAATTCACATCGGGGAAACATTGCTTTGATATATATGTGTGCCATTAAGGATATTATCATTATAGTACTATTATGTTCCTAAACTAGGATTAGCTCTGGCAGTGTACATAAGTGTTCTCTAATATCTTGTCTCACAAGATGAATATACATCTTGTAGTATTCTGTCTTAGACTAAATATAACATACTTAGTATCAAATAATATATATAAAAGTTTTCATACATTTTTTGTTGCATTCTGTCTTAACCGCAGATAATGTGTGCGTGTAGCGTCAAGTCATGAACATCAACTCATAAATGTTTACTGTACCATTCTGTCTTGGGTGGCAGATAGTAGTCCTAGTTTCGATTCATATAGAACAGTTTACATACATTTTCTGTAGCATTGTACTGTGATGTTGTAAGTTAGTACTGATTTACTGTCAGTTAAAAGTTTGTAACATTTGTTTCCTCAGAAATGTCTGGAAAGCAGTCTCTTCTCCCATGATGTCTGGTCAACTGCTTGGACAGTACTGCAGGACTGATGCACCCAAGGTAGGCCAGAGGCAGCTCTCTGCTTTATCAGCACAGGTTTCAGTGTTGTCTGGGCAGCACAACCCCATAGACAATGCTTCGGACAAAAAGCCACTGTTATCTTCAACGTTGGTGACATTTCAGAGTGTGCGTACAAATGTTAGAGTGCATTACAGACCCAGCGCTTGGAAGAGGTACAACAAGCACAATATTGAACGCAGGCTGAGAACACCGGGAGGCCTGGAATTGTTGTGGAGGAGAATACTCAAGGGCAGGCATCAGTTGGCAGTTTATGAAAGAATTCTTCCAAATACTGTCAATGGGAAAATTTTACCTAAGCACCATTTCAAATATCAGAGTCAACCAATCTGCAAGCGTCAGCTTCCAAAACCTGGATTGTTTTGAAATTTACTTGTTTGTCCAGTTTTAATTTTCTGGATGTGATTTTTATCATTGGAAATAGATTGGCAGTTGTGTCTAAAAAAAAATATTCACTTGTTTGTTTTCCCAGTGAGTGACAATTTTTAAGTAGGATGGAGTCTTCAGTTTCAAAGCGTCTGATTTCTCATCCCTAGGATGAGCATTCCTTGCTCGATTTATGTGTATGTGTAGTTTATATATATATATATATATATATACACACACACATATGTACACACATATATACATATTCACACATATAATATATATTTGTGTGTGTGTGTTGATGGTTTAAACAATGGGTCAACATCATGGCACAAGGGTAGTAACCCATAAGTGCTCCGTTCTACTTCTATCGTGAGGGAGCTGCAGTACTGATGCAGCCCTAGTTACAATGTGAGGGGGGTGGGGGTGCTGCTCTGAAGCAACTCCGCTCTGTATGTCGCTCACCAGTTGTCAAATTCTCTATGTTTTGGACACCTTGGCAATCATGCCATCCTTTGTTTTTCAAATGCATGAAAATGCGCTTGCCAAGCAGGGTCTTCAGTAGACTGACTATAATCATCATCGTCATAGTCATGGCAGCCAGCTTGGACTGGAAACCCTGCTGAAGTTGAGGTGAGGGCTGGCATCTCAGGATCGGTACTTAGGCTGGACAAGGTACGTCTTGGCTCAGTCGTAAAATGGTGTTGTCCATAGTAAAAGTCTCTGAATCAGTCATGCATGACGGTTCATCAGTATCGGACCCGCAGGGGCAGGCGGAGATGTCAGGTGTCTTCAGGCATGAAGACACGTCATCGTCGGTCAACTCGCGGGGGTTGAGAAGGCATGGCTGGCTTTCTTTCAGGTGTCGCGGGCAGCGTAGTGTTTGGCAATTTTCTTTGTGTGCGGCATCTTCTTTGGCTGTCGGAAATAGGGTTGTTTCTTGACTCACTTTATAGTGCAGGTAATTAGTTATAGCTTGGTCTCTGAAGGGTAGCAGGATACTAGTAAAAGAGCCCTTAAAAGAACTCTCAGGGTGCAACCAACAGTATACAAGGCTAAGCTAACCAATCTAGACAGATCAAGCCATATAGGAACATAGTGATCAAGAAAAGTTATCTTTAAATCATCAGGACTGAGATCAGCAACGTTGACAACATTGTAGATCTATGATGAACTTTTAGGTTCTGAATGATACCTTGATCACAAGGTTGAAGTGTTGATGTGACATTAGGCGGCAGAAACAAAAAAATATTTGTAAAATTCTTGTGAGGCTAAAAAAGTTTAAATAACTAAAAGACCTTTTTTTGTTTATGCATAAAGGAAGAATAAATTCTTGTAGCCCATCATCATGATGTAGCAGGTCCTTTGCAAAACGTCGCTCTCATCACAGTCTGCCTGTAAGAAACTCAGTCTCTTGCCAGTTCCCCCGCCTCATGAACTTTCAAACTCAAGGAGTCACTTATATCCTGTGCCTATCTTCGTGTCGGTCGGCCTCTGTCCCTCCTTCCTGGTACCATGCCTTTGCTATTATTTTTTCCAATCAATCGTGGCGCTTGATATGACCAAAATATTTCAGCTTTCGAGAAAGGATGCTGTTTATTAGCCAATCTTCCTTGATGTTCAGATCTTTTAAGATGTCAATATTTCTCATCTTCTTTGTCCAAGATATTCTGAGAATCTTTCTATAGCATTTCAGCTCAAAAGCCCCTATTCTCTTTCTTAAGGTCTGAGAGATAGTCCACGACTCATATCTGTATGTAGCCACATCGTACCTCATCCAGTAAAGGCTCTGGTTCTTTTTCATAACTTTCACAAGTCGTTTGTGAATTACCTGTCACATCCTCATACATTTCTCTACAGTATTCTTTCCATCTTTCTTATGTCTTTGGTTTCCGTTAATGTGTTACCGTTTTTATCACATAATACATGTAAAGAAGGCCTGAATTCGCATTTCAAAGTTTTAATTTCTTTAAACATGTCTCTGTCTCTTCCTTGCATCTGGAGTTGTTCAGTTTTATTACAGGTTTATCTCCTCTAATAGCTCTTCTAATTTCTTTCGTGTAGTTCCTATATGCATGGCTATTTTTTTCTGTCCCTACTTGCCTTAAATTTCTTCTTTCTTCTATCAGCTTGAAAGTTTTTTCTGTAATGTAAATCTGTTTCTTGTGTGGTTTTTTAGGAATCATGTTCTGAGCTGTTGTGATGATGATGTTTCTTGTTTCATCAGCCAACTCATCAGGTGTCATATCCTCCTGCACTGCCATTAGCGCCTCAAATTTGTTTCCAACCTCAATGCTGAAATTATTTGGCAAATTACTCAAATCATAATGTATTGGCTTAGCCCCTTTCAACACTTTTTTCAGTTTTATTTTAAACTCTGCAACAAGAAGTTTGTGATCAGTGTCACAGTCAGCTCCAGGAAGTGTCTTTGCAGATGTTATAAATGTCCTCCATTTTTGTTGTATTAAAATGTAATCAATTTGGTTCCTGCTATTTCCATCTGTTGATGTCCAGGTGTAGAGCCTTCTTGGGTGTTGTTTAAATAGTGTGTTGGTAATACACATATTCTTTTCTATACAGAATTCAATCAGTCTCTCCCCACTCTCGTTTCTGTCTCCTATGCCGAATGGGCCTCTGACTATTTCCTCTTCCTCTATTCTACCTCGGCCAATTTTTGCATTAAAATCCCCCATGATGATTATAATATCTCTTGTTTCTACCCTTTCTAATGTCTGTTCTCAACTGTCATAACAGTTTTGAATTTCATCTTCTTGTAGCCACTCACTGAAAAATTCTGATCTCATCCAAGCCTTTGAATTGGCTCTGTTATTTACACACAATTTTGCCAGACCTTTGAAAAACGTGTTTTAACTTTGTAAATAAAGAATAAAGGTAATTTTTCATGCTCATTGTCATGAAAGGGATACAGTCACGTGTCTTGTTTATGAGATTTTTGTGTGAAAAATCACAGACACTCTGAGATAGTCTAAGATCTGAAGGTTGGCTCGGTTCGTCTAGGTTCAATTCCCTTTTGTTCGACAACCTTCAGCTATCTCAGGGGTGAGGAATTCAAACTACACTTCCGGATACTTAAAGCATTCTTCCCGGCTGTAGCTTGATCTGATGTCCTCACAACTTACAAAACCCCCAGACCACCAAGATTGTTTAGTAGCCGAATATTAACACTTCTAGGATCAGAACAGACCTAACTATTATATACTTAACAACTAACTCAACTACTGAAACAATCCACAAGCTTTACAAAGAGATCGTTAAAACCAAAACTAGAATATATAATTACTGAATCATAGACACGCAGAAACATTAAGACAAGACATTATAGATATTCTTCAGAACAGATTCCAAGAAACAGAACTCTCTTAAAGGTAACCCCGTGCATTCCCTCTATCATCACTGCCGTAGAAAGATCATGACTCGCTACTGGATAAGCAGAAACGGTCGTGCTGCGTTATACTTAAGTAGCGAGTGCTGAATCTTCCACAGAGTCTTCATGCAAAGTCATCCTCGTATGTTCTTGACAGAACGAAGATGAGTCATGGTGTCCTTTCGGGAATCTTAGATAATTAGTTAGGTATCCCTCCACGGATGACGGAGTTGTTATCTCGTTGGATCGCCGAGGGACATAGTTACGTTTGACGCTACCTCGAAGATCTCTATCGATATGACAAGAAGTAAGATACGTCAGGTTCAGCAAACCTGTTCAGCCAGACACCGCATGAGATTTGTGTGACAGCCTCGTAATCGTCGACTCCCACATGATATTATACACAACTATATCAACGAGATCACCTGAATAGGATTTTACACGCACTGGACATGCTGGATATACTAAAGAGAGCATTGAATCCACTAGGAGTACTGTTGAATGTGTCGATGTATATCCAGGTGGACATATGATTGGATACGCCGCTGGATCTTCCTCCACAAACAAGTTACAGGCAGGACAAGTTGACTAACGAGTTGGAACCTTCAGTTTTCCATGATGACCAGTAAGATCATTAAATAGATATTTTTTATGATGACGAAGGAGGCTCACAGAGAGAATGTTGTGGCGTTCCCAAAGTCTAGAAGAGAGAGTGTGTAACGTCACCACATTCAGTGCTAGCAACGACAGTTTTGCGTATCGGTGCCGCGAAACAAAAGTGAACCCAATAATTTCTCATGCATCTGGACATAGACCTAAATATGCACTATTTACCTTAGGACAGACAGTCCGCTAAGTAAATAAGGTGTGTCACGGGTTGTCCAAGATGCGGAAAGCCTCATTGAAGTAGGGGTGCTGAGGTTGTTACGCGACACCCATCCATACTGTGACACACAACCACCATTTTTCTTTTGCTTTTTTTCCCCCACCAGGACACTTCATTCTTGAAAGAAAATGTTTTATCAGGTAACAGTCTCCAAAATAAGCCAGTTTCATCAGCATTAAAAACATCCGTTTAATTATTTTTGGCCAAAGCAGGTTTAAGCACCTCTTCTGTTAATGAATGAGTTGTCGCTTCGTGAACTAATTGTTCCTCTCCCCACACACTCTTGTATATTATACAATGTCATTTTTTGAAACAATCCAGCCAGCCAGTTGTAAATTTCCAGTCTGTCTCACCTCCAAGGCGTGCAATCGCCTCTACTTTTTTGCTAAAATGGCCCATTTATGGGTTCATTCATCAGCCTAAACACGGAGAACCATTTTAAAGGGCCAGTATGAACAAAATCACATGTGGCTGTTCAAGCTCACTGTCTGTCACTGTTGATTAGACATTCGAAAAACAATGTTCTGTAGCATTCTTGATGCTTTAAAATGCCAGAATGTGTCAAGTTTGGAAAACCATATTGTCTAGCTATATCCACTTTCTTCTTCCCATTATGTTCAACTTCTTCTAACAGCTCAATATTTCTTTTTAAAGCTAAATTAGTAAACTTTTGCCCTCTAGCCGCTATCTTTTTTTTAGACAGATACTGTTGGTGCGAGATTTCACGTT